AGTAATTGAACTGCAGTCAGAGAGAGACGTATTGTTGAAGTAGAGCTCGTGAGACGTGAACTATAGTTTGTTATAGCGCGACTGTTGAAGTTGAGTGTATCGTAAAGTTGTATTCGGCAAGAATAAACTAGTTTTATTAAGTAAGGACTTGTATGGGTAAAGTTTCTTCGGTAAGAGTTTTAACAGAAAATTAACTAACGAACGGAGACGTAACAATATCCTGTATATGTTTTAACAACCTCTCTTCTGTTTTTATTCATATCCTGTACATGATAACAACTTGTCTTCTGTTTGTATTCAGATCATGTACATGATTTAACAATTCGTCTACTGTTTGTCTTCAGATCCTGTACATGTTTCAACAACCTGTCTTCTGTTTGTCTTCAGATCCTTTACATATTTAACAACTTGTCTTCTGTTTGTCTTCAGATCCTGTACATGTTTTAACAACCTGTCTTCTGTTTGTCTTCAGATCCTTTACATATTTAACAACTTGTCTTCTGTTTGTCTTCAGATCCTCTACATGTTTTAATAACCTGTCTTCTAATGCTTGGAGACTGCTTGAATGGGTAATGAAAAAAAAATTAATATAAGTTTAACATAACAGCAAGTGTACAACGTTTCGACAAGGTTTTGTTATCATCAGGTATAAGTAGCTTACACAGACACACATTTACATATATATACAGTATTGAACAAAGAGGTCACTGACCGGATACTGTTGCAAGACTTAGAAGAGATATCTTGGCACCCCAGGGTGTTGGTTTAGAGTAGGGTTGTTTTGTTCAATTAAAATTGATTCCTTGATTTTTCGTTTATTTATGTTGGGTTCTTTGTTTAAAATCACTGTGTTTTTAATAGATATACTATGTTTTTTTTTAGTTGCAATGGTGGAAAACATGGGACGGTTTTCTATTGTGTTCTGTGAATCTGGTTTCCAATTTTCTTCCTGATACTCCAATGTAGAATTCTGGGCAGTTATTGCATGTTATTTTGTAAATGACGTTGGTATTTTGTGATTCTAAATAATTTTTGTTTAGTAACGATTTTAATTTAGGGCCGGGTTTTTGAGAGAATTTGACGTTGACAGGAATATTGTGTTTAATCGCTAGTTTTGTCCAAGTGTAGATGATTATTGAGCTGGTTTCAGGGACAAAAGGTAAACTGTAGTGTAATGTTCTATTGTTGGGTTTGTTAGTATCAATTTTGTTCGTGAGTTGAGTTTTATTGTGGGGAATGTTGGAGAGTTTTTCAACAATAGCTGGTGGAAATTTATTGGTGTGAACGAAGGATTGCTTTATGTAGTTGATTTCTTCATTTATGTAGTCCGTTGAACAGAGTCTTGTGGCTATATTTATAATGTTTTTGAGTATATTGATTTTTGTGTGTGGTGTCAAGAGCGGAATTCCAAGGGATGTAAAGGCCGGTGTGTGTGTTCTTGTGGTGAATTTTAGTTTTAAACTGTGTGTCCGATCTGATAATGTTGAGGTTAAGAACAGATAACTTTTATTGTTTTCGTGTTCTATGGTAAATTTGATTTTGGGATGAATGGAATTTATGTGTTCGAAGAAATTTAGTGTGTGTTCTG